GGGGGAGTGAGCGAGCGGCTGGGTGGTGCTCAGTTGCCAACTGAGGCTAAACCGCAACACACATTTTTGGCCCAGCAATACGTTCCTCTTTCCCTTATCTGTGCTGCAAGGCCCACTCGCAAATTTAAGTGCTTAGTGCCTGCTGATTTCAGCGAGGGCGACAGACCTCCATACCCCAGTGAAACTGTACTCTCCAAGTAATATGAGCAAAGGATGCTTTGGGGACAGTAATAAAGAGAAAAGAACATGACCTCTAAGAGCCTCTGTCTGATGCCTAGGAGCGGAGGCTCTTCTCAGTGTAATACAAACCAAACCGCCTTCCCAAACACAGCAGTGTTTTCCTGTGGCATGCAATGCTCCACGAAGCACGCTCGGGGTCTCACACCTGACGTTAGAGAGGTCGGATCGGACTGGGATGTAGTGGACCCAAGGCTTCAGCTGGGGGTAGAAGAACTCCAGCCACTCTTCTCCAACGTGAAAGACGAGTGAACCACACAAGAAGAGGTGTTTCAACCGGAAACTGGCAGCCACTCCCCGGAAATTAAACAGATACCTTTAAAAGGAGAAGCAAAGAGAGGGACCTGACTACACTTGGCATTTTGTAAGGGAATGCACTAAGAAACCGGGCTCCGAGTAGCAGTCAGCCTTCCCTCACAGGTAGCAGCTGGGGTGGGGGGGGTGTCCCTCACACTGAGCCAAGCACCTGTTGCTGAAACAAAGGGAAGACATTTATCTGAAGCTCCTCGCAGGAAAGGTGAGCCAAGTTAAGGATTTGCTAGGCGAGTTTCTGCTGCCTGTCAAAACTGAGGGTGAAAATCAAGGCATGCTGCTTTACCTCCGATAAAGACACCTGCCTGCGACAAACCAAAAGAGGCCTCGCGGACAATTGCCAACAAGGCACGGAAGGTCACAACTTGGATGCTGATCCTGTGACTCTTCGCTTCAGGGACACTGTTACCACGAGGAGCTTTCTCCCAATTCTCTCATTTTGCAGTGAGCTTTTCTGTCCGTTGTTCTGCTTTGCCACATCTATCTCAGTTGGGTTGTGTTGGTTTTTTTGGGGGTGTGGGGGGGTAGGGGGTGTTTTTGTCTTTGTTTTTTTTTCCTCTGGGATCCTGCTTTAATCTGAATCTGGGAATGCAACCCTAGGAGGTTAAACAGGCTAGCACACAACAGGTGGACTTTGCAGATAACAAAGACTCCACAATTTTGTTTTCAGTATTTTCCGCCGAGTTAGTAAAGTGGGCTTGACTGGGGGACGATTTCTCTTAGCAAACTGTATCTCAAAGGGATGTTTGTTTGTTTGCTTGCTTGCTTTTTTAAACCCACATTTCTCCAATTATATGGAAACCTGTTTTTCCCCGTGGGTAAAACCCCTCAGTACATATAACTAATCTTTGAAGTCAAACATTTTGGGCTGGGGGAAGAGAGTTCTTCCTTTAATGAAGCTATTTTGGGTGAGATGGGAATTATATTATATATATTTGGGGTGAGATGGGAATTATAGGTAAACTTAGTTCAGCAGTAAGTGACAAGGAGTAAATCTGAAATTATTTTGCATTCTTTGTGTTACCTAGGAGCTCAAGGCAGGGATGAGGAGCTCGTTATATTAGGAACTGAACAAATACATGTAGAGACGTAACAAGAACAGTGGTCTGGAAGCGAGGAAATGCCTCTGTCCAATTCCAGACATAGCTCCCACCATCTGTGACCTCAGCCAAGTCACTGAGGGCTGCTCTCAGACAGCCTGCTATAGCACCGACACTGAAGGAAGCAGTGAGAAGTTCGTGTTGACCCTACCAGACCCTGGGCTACGACAGAAGCGTGTGAGAATGTCTCAGCCTATACTGTACGAGGGCCTTAGGAGGCATCAGGAGCTGGGAAGTCTATGTGTAACAGAAGGGAGAAATCTGGGCAACAGTCTAGTGAAATATAAAATGAGACAAGTCAATCACATTTGCACAAAAACACAGATCCAGCCAAGTGACTGAGTTCTTATATCAGCAGGTTCTAGCAGGTAGAATCGTAACTAATTTTAAAGCAAAAGAAAAAGCAAAACATCAGACATACAAGTACATACACACTAAGAGTTTATATTTTTTTTTTTTTTTACACAGAAACCCAGAAGAATATTACACCAAAAACCCCTCCCTAAAGTAGTTAAAAAATAAAAGCCTTTGTAAATCAAAACCACATTCTCCCAAACACCATACAAAGTATGAATCAATACTACATCTGCTCAATCATATTTCAGGCTCTCTCTTTTACTATATACATCCAATGGCAACACTTGCCCCGGTATGCATATGAAGACATGATTCCTTAGTTCCTTATGTCTTGCGTATGAAGACATGATGCCTTAATTCCTTATGTCTTTGAAGACAGTAATGCTATCACTGTAGCACCGAAAAAACAATTTTGAACACACAGCTTGGTACAGGAATATAAAGAAAATTTGATAGAAAGCCTTTTTGATTAAAATAAAATAAAATTTTCGATCTATATGTTTATTAGTGATCCAAGACCTTTACTTTCCCCGAAGCACTTTATCTCTCCTGGCCTGACAGGGGAAAGACGACACTGACAGAGGCCATGCTAAGCTCCCACATTTTCAACTGCCTTAAGTCTGTTCACAAGCTTTCTTGTCTGCATGGAGCTGGTTGCTGGAATTAGACCTTAAAATAAAGTGAGACCTTACACCACGCAAGGAAAGAAATAACCCATAGCCCTCGAGCAGCTTTACTAATCAAAACTCTTACTTGTATGTGCAGTGATCAACCAGTGGAATTTCCTTTGCAGGAGGCTTTCCTAAGGTGTCCTTAAAAAAAAGAGAATTTAAAAAAACATAGCAAGCTTTATATGGTGATTTCATATTTGTTTTCCTTCTCAGTTAGAAACAAAGCTGAAGTCTCAAAACCCTCCATTCCCACTTCCGAGAAAACCTTCTCTGGTGGACTTTTATAAGTATTATGAAGAATCCCCAGCCCTTCAAACAAGAAAAAAAGTTCAGTAAATTACACGCTGCCTGTAAGCAAACGCCAGCACAAACACATTAAATGATAATGTTTAGTTGGCAGCTACAGAGTGGAAAACAGCTTGGGACAATGGACTATGTGAAGCCAAGTGTAACCGGATTAGGCAAGACTGTCTGGAGAGAGCTGGACTGTAGAATAAGTACGGAACTAAAAAGTTACCAGCAACAGTTATCAGAAAGTTATCAACAAGACCAAGAAATGGAGATGACAGGAAAAGGTTAAAAAAGACTGACACCACCACACAGGCAGCTCAGGGCTAGAAGGGGTAATTTTGATTGGCTAATTTTGTTGTAATGGAAGAGGAGGGGATTGGCACAGGTTCATTTTCTTACATGTGCCGGTTTCCTTAAACAAAAAGTGTAGATGGAAGAAAAATGTTTGGCCTGCCAGGCTCTAGAGACTCCTTCCTTTCATCCGTCAGAGAGATGCGGCCATCAAGGGCCTCCCCGACTCTAGAGGATCACCCACAACTCTCCAACAAGATGCATGTCAATCATCAAAGCCATCTTGCAATGTTACCCTTCCTGGCTTTGACACTCAGGAGACAGACAACACCCACACACCTTCTCAGACTTCCAAGCCTGGTTTTTAGTGTACTCAGCATCAACAAGTTCTGGGTTTTCTCGGGACAGCAGAATGAGGGGATCTCTCTCAGGGCTCGTTCTGCAAAAGAAATGCCGTCAGTCATTGCCAATTCACTGACTCAACACAGCCAACAAGCTACAGGACTCAAGATCCTGCCTCTTTATGAGGCTGACCTCCCCATGTCCCCCGAAAACATTATTAAGTGCCTACCATACAATGTATTTCTGTCCAAGGGTGCATTAGCAGAAGAGAATGAGTTATGTGTACCGAAATGATTTGAGGCCCTGTTTCTTTATTTCACTTACTGTTCTGGTTTCAGCAGGAATAGAGTTAATTTCCTTCCTAGTAGCTGGTACCGTGCTGTGTTTTGGATTTAGGAGGAGAACAATGTTGATAACACACCGATGTTTTAGTTGTTGCTGAGCAGTGCTTACATTGGTCAAGGACTTTTCAGCTTCCCATGCTCTACCGACCGAGAAGGCTGGAGGTGCACAAGAAGCTGGGAGGGGGCACAGCCAGGACAGCTGACCCAAACTGGCCACAGGGATATCCCATACCGTGTGACGTCATGCTCAGTACATAAACTGGGGGGAGTTGGCCGGGGGGGTGGGGACAGCTGCTCAGGGACTGGCTGGGCATCAGTCGGTGGGTGGTGAGCAATTGCATTGTGCATCACTTATTTTGTATATTCTTTTATCTTTATTATTATTATTTTCCCTTCCTTTTCTGTCCTATTAAACTGTCTTTATCTCAACCTATGAATTTTACTTCCCCCCGCCCCGATTCTCTCCCCCATCCCACTCAGGCGGGGGGAAATGAGCGAACAGCTGTGTGGTGTTTAGCTGCCTGCCTGGTTAAACCACAACACTTACTAAATATTTAATAGTATTATTTAAGCAATTCCCAGGACAAATCAGCAGAGCTGTTGTTTCCTTCAGGCCTTATCCTGATGGGTGCCAAATACTTTAACTCTCTTCTAAGTCAGAGAGAGCTAAGAGGCGCCAAGCATCTTCAGCACTTGATCCCTCTGACACCAATTTAAAACACTACCGATAAACAAGGTTACGACATCCCTGAGACTCACTCATCATCATCTCCTGAGCCTACCTAGTAAGATATCAAATCCATCCCTATGGGGGATGGAGGAGGAACAAAGTGTTGGAGGCACAAAAAGGAGCAGGGGTTAACGCTGTTTGCAAACTGTCACTGGAGAGACAGCAAAAATAATCTACTCTCTTATTCCCCACCACTCAGGTAACTTAATCCAAGAATACTTGTTGATTCACTGTCGAGCACTTCCATAGAGAATAAAGTATTCACACTGGCAAGAAGCATGCACATCAGTATCAAATCTTTAAATTTGTATCATGCACCTGCAGTTCCCTTCACAGAACAAACCAAGCTGGTTCCTAGTGTGACAGTTTCACTCATTCAGAAATAACGTAGCAAATCCATCACAACTTCTGTTTCCAATATTAGACTTATTATAATAAACTAGTTGCAAATGGCAATTCTTATGGAAAATCGCTAATGGCGAAATGCTGCTGTACAAAATGTCTTTCTTTCCTTACTTTTAAAAAATACATTCTGGGATACACTTGTTTAGGTCTTGGAGACACAGACATTTCTGCATACAGACAGCTGTCACAGAATATGTTGGTAGAATCTCCTGTTACAGGAAAATATGCTCACCTGGATCCTCGGAAATATCCTTTAGAGATTTTTTTCATCCATGGCCATTTTTCTGCAGATCTGAAAATATTGTTTATACATGGCAATAAATGATTTAATATAACCATGAAACAGTGCTCTCATCAGTTTTCACAGCATGATCTCTTTTTATTATTCTTCATTTCTGATGGAAATCACTTTCTTCATTATAGCAGAAAAAACTCTCAGCCAGGTCCAGTGAAACAGGTTTTCCTGTGAATATTGTGTTTAAGGCAACATGATATAGACTACTTTTTGGAATACCTTTCAGTCAAAACAATGACTTACACACAACCCCCTCACCGAACCTTTAAGGGTATTAAAATTTACCTAAAAGTTTGAATCCACTTTTTGTATTGTTGCTTTTTTTTGTACTTCACTGAATATGGGTAGTGCCAAATGACTAGAGAGTTTCTAACCACTGTCATTTCTCCTTAAAAAAAACCCCAATCAAACAACAAACAAAAAAACCCGCCTAGTGTTTTGCATTTAAAACATAGGGGTTCATTGTTTTCCCAAATAACTTTCATTTTAAATCTAAGCAAGTCTTTCAAAATAGCTGTTCACGTGTTTTATTTCTGTCAGCGCAGTCGCCTGCCTCCCTCTGGGGAACTCTTTGTTGTACTTTTCTGTTGCACCTGGCTCGACATGTAGGTCCTGATCCCCAAACTGATCTGCGCAGGTCAAGCTTTGCACCTGCTTGTAACCCAGTGACACAGGTGGGGTTCACTGAGAAAGCCAGGGTAAGTAAATGCTTTGGACCTTCATTATATTATATCACATTAGGCTTCAGCTACGATTAGTCCCATAGATCTTCAGATTTTGAAGAGGGAAACATTCAACCTTGCATTCTGATGTCGAGTGACTGACATCAAGGTGTTTTTTTCTTGTTATGTTTCTATGTTCACTCACTGTTGCACACTTTGTTTGTCACTCTCCATGGGAAACAGCCCCTTATTCTGCTAATAGTCAAAGATCCTGCCAAAAGAAAGACTCCCAGTCAGAAACGTCTTCTGTCTTCCTCTCAGCCTAGTAATGACTCTTGATTTTTGGGAACGATTCCAGATTTCTCTATTGCACAATAATACTCAAGTAAAAGCAGATCTAAAAAAGGCTTTCCTTTACCCTTCCAGAAGCTTATACAAACATCCTGGATCGTCCCTGCAGTAAAAAAACACAGCTCCTAGAGAAGTAGTTGGAAACAAAGGAAAATATTTCCATGTGTCAGGGGAGGTTTCTGCAGGCAAAAGATAACTGCTACTTTATTGACAAACCCTAACCCACCGAAAATGATAGTAATCTGGCCCTGACAGCATGAAGAATGTGTATACTTTGTCCTCTGCGTTCCTTACTAAAGTGTTGGAAATAGAGAAGCTAATTATAACTTCTAGTTACATCATCCAAGGTTTCCATGGAGAATTCTCATACAGCAGTTAGGCTGTACGTAGTTAATGAGAGGCAGCAGGACAGATCACAGGCCAAGAGACCTATGGTCTTAGACTTCAACGTTGACCCAATGCTGCCCAGTGCTAGATGGCTTTTACCGTGAGTTTGTCTTCCGTTAAACCATCCCCCACATAACCATTTCCAAAACATACCTTCTGAGGTCCTCTCTCAGGAGGTCCCAGCGCCCTAAACCTGTTGGGTAAATCGGCCAAACAGCTGGTCCTCCTTCCCAAAATGTCCAGGCAGGATACATGATATCATTGTACTCAGGTGTCTTAAGAAAAAGGAGAGTAATAAAAGAGTAAGAGTAACATTTACTTCCATTTACTGACTGAGCTTACCAGCAATGAACATCCCTTCTGGAATTCTGTCAGCTTTCTCTGTTACTGTTCCATAAGCAGCCATGAGAGCTTTGTGGTCACCACAGTGCTGCTGGGGTTCATAGGAAGACAACCCAACAGAGAAAAGCCAGGGTATTTCAGCATGCATACTTGCTCTGAGTGGACCAGATGACCTCCTAAGGCCTCTTCCAACCAAAACATTTCAACATTTATACTTTCAACACTTCAGTTCATTCCGGCCTTCCTAGACATCACTTAAAAATTCACTGTAACAAATATCCACGTCATGTAAGAATTTCAGTTCCTCAGTCCTATTTGGATGCTTAAATTCTCATTTAATCAGAGGGAAGACCAGCACTGAAGTTAAGACTAAACCCTTTCATGAAACTAGACTATAGGTCACTTCCTTGTACTAGTAAAACTTTTATCCAAATTATCCATCTATCTGTCACCTGGACATACTGGAGAGAGTCCAAGGCCACCAACATAGTTAGGAGGTTGGTGCACATGACATATAAACAGGGGCTGAGGACTGGGTTTGTTCATGCACAGGAAGAGGAGGCTTGGGGGAATCTAAATGCTGTCCCCTACTGCCTAATGGGAGAGTTTAGAGAAGAAAGAGGCAAACTTTTCAGAAGTGCACTGAGGAAGAATGAGAGGCAACAGGCTTTGATTACAAGAGGGGAAATTCCAATTAGATATTGGGAAATACGTTTTCATTCTGAGGGAGGTCAAACACTGGGGCACGTGACCAGGGAGGCTCTGGATGCCCTGTCCTCGGGGATGCTCAGAACCGGGCAGGACACAGTCTGGAGCACCCTGATCTCGTTGGCCCTGCTCCGAGCAAGGTGCTAGACTGGGCGACCTCCTGAAGTCCCTTCCAACTTAAATGAGCGTGTGCTTCTATGATCTGCTCCTTCTCAATCTTGCTATAAACAGGCATCGATAACAAACCATGACAGCTCCACCACCACCCCAGGGTCAGCCTTGCAAGATGCAGAACTGGACAATCCTGCAATCCCTTATGCTTTCAGCCTTAGAAAGCACCCTGGACCAGCATCCCGGAGCCTTCCTCATTCTGGTAGGGACTAACACTGCCTGGTTAAACGTGAGCTGTGCTTGGGTCACTGGGTTTCAGTTAAGGATAAGGCTGAGGTTTACAGTTCAGATATTGGACAACGGTGACCAGAGAACTCAGTTTCTTGCAGGGTCCTGCAAGGCACCCAGGGGCAGGATGATGAATACGGCTGCAAAGATTAAACTCCTGCAACCTGCTCTGCATCAGTTTGGGTTCTGCTGGCTAGAGTTAAGGCTGTGCGATGGTCAAGGAGCAAGACAGCTAGCTGTCTGCTGACAGACTACAACATCTGGCAGCAAACATGGTTCTTGAATGACAGCGCTTGCAATGCTGTACTGAAATTCTAGAGAGAGTTTTAGGATGGCTGGGACTAGGCAATAGTTATGGACTGTATTAGGGTTCAGACTGCATGAGCTGAAGACCTGTGCAAGATGCTATGAGTTAGCCAAAACAGAATAGGGCCTGAAGTAGCAAGAGCAGAAGGTTTATTGCTTCTTTCTGCATCTTACTGTCTGCTGGGCTTAGGTAGTGAGGGTGCAGGATTTGGGCACATTGAGCATACACTAAGGCAAAGCAAGATTAGCTGAAGCTTGAGGTGTAACTGTATTTTGTTGGAAAGGATGAGACATTATGCTACAGTCAGGTTTAACAATGGGAGGAAAACATATGTGAGGGCTCTCCAGTCTGGGAACAGAGACACAGAGAACAAATATCTCTGTGTGTGCGCATGTTTGGAGACGGAAAAGGGAATCCAGGGGAAAAGGGTTCACAGGAGACAGCAATATTACAGAAAAGAAGGTAAAAAACACTACCAAAAAAGAGGACTAAAATATTCATATTAAATGAGATTAACTGTATGATAGCTGACTGATGATCAAAAATCCTTAACAATGCTGATAAGCTACAGCTACAGTTTTAACAGTGGCCTTGTAGCAAATGACAGCGATACTGGCACATATCCCATCCAGCTGTGCATCATTCCACTGTAGCAGAGGTACATTTTTTGACCTGGAAGAGGAGCTAATGAGGGGAAAAACTGTTCTATTGAATAATTCTGCAAGTCTGTCTGCCAGAAAACTGGAAGCAAAAGGAAACATCAAGAGCAAACAAGAGCAAACAATTTTGACACACAGAAAATCTGCGGGGAACCATCCTCAAAAATACGTTCCCAAGAGAAAGGAGGACATGCATGTCTCAGAAATGCTCAGCTTTTAAAAAGGCGTGCGCACCTTACTGAAGGAGAAGACTGGGATAATGGGTTTCATCCACTTGGGGACCTGGGGGTAGTCTCGCACATTGATCACCATTTCCATGTCAGGGAGGCGGTTGATGATCCCCAGAAGGAAGTGCTCAACTCCACTGCATCTGCGGAGAAATGACATATGGCAAAGAGCTACAAGGAGAAGGCAGAATCCTGCAGTCTCTTGCAGGCCTTTCTCTCTGCACAGGAGCAGAAGAGATGGTGAGCCTGAGCCATACCACGATGCAGGCTGGGAACTGCCTATAGCAGCCTCTAAGCCCCAGCGGAGTACAGACACCAATGAAGCAACCCATCCTGTTAAATCTGGCCCAATCTGCATCTTTCTCTGGGATCCCACAACCAACCAACCCTTTGTACACTGAAGCGCAACAATGACACTTACCTCTTGCTACATTTAAGCCTGATACATAATTTTCTAGGCTCCTGCTCTGATAAGGAATTCAGACCTTTGAAATATCATTGTGCTCAATGACTTTCAACTTGGCAGAGTTGGAAGTACTCCTGTGTCCCAGCTAGGAAGACGAGATCTTCTGCACAGCTCTTACCTTGCAGGGAACAAGCAGTCCTGCTCACGGTACAATTTGTTCTTAATGATTTGGTAGTGTGTCCCGAGCTTCCGGCTCACCACATCTGATATTATCTCCTTGGAAATGCCACCTCGAAAAGGAGCCAGGTCCTGCTTCCAGACACTGAAACAAAACAATCAGCCATTATTATGCACAATAGGGAGGATACTGTGCATTCAATTGCTGCAGTACACAGAACAGACTTCTAGTTAAAACAAGCTCTGTGTAGCTTCCAGGAGGTCTGCTACATGTGGCATAACGGAGAATTCAATTTAAGTCACTTGGAAGAGCTGTTACTCAAGAGACTCAAAGGTCCAAGCTTTACTCTTTGACTATCTATGGGCTGTTTGCCCAAACAGAAAGCCCAGCACAGGACTCTGAAGCTAAATCAACATGGACAACTCTACGCTCCCAGAAAGCAACCTACATACCCTGGCAGGTTATGGGTAAAAGCACTCAGTTCACTTAACCTTTCAGTTGTGAAGCTTGTGCTCTGGCCTTCCGTAAATGATGGGCCACACCAAGACCAAATTCCTCACACCATGTCATGCTATTTAGACATTAAATAAGAAGGTAAGAGTCTAGTTGCAAGGAACACTATCGCCCAATAATGCTGCATGCAGTGAAAGCCAGCCCAGGAGGACAGGCCTATGTAGCACGTGTTCTGTGACATCTGCACATCACCAGTGAGCTCCAGGAATGCAGTATGAAAACATAAACGTAACGAATATAAGAAAATACAGAAGGAAGATGCAGTTTACATAAATTTAGTCTAAAGGTCCTCAGATCTAACTGCTTGGAGCATTTAACGAACACTGTCAGATTGTAACAGCCATGGAGACATCCTCCCCACTTTTTGGTAGACACTGCATCAATGCCTTAGTTTAACACAACACTGTCGGGGTGGTCCCACTGTGAGGGTGGTCAAACACTGGCACAGGTTGCCCAAAGAGGCTGTGAAGTCTCTCTTCTTCGAGATATTCAAAACCCGACTGGACACAGTCCTGGCAACCCTGCTTGAGCAGAGGTGTTGGACTTAATGATCTCAAGAGGTCCCCTCCAACTTCCAGGATCCTGCTATTTTGTAATCGGGTGGAAAATGGTTCAGCTACATAAAGAATTGCCACTGAAATGATGGGCTGATCACAGGATAAGCAGTCTGGCAGGGACACAAATGTAATGAGCTTGAGAACAGGAAGAAAGTTGCAGTTTTATGGCACACCCATGTCATTGTAACCTAAGTGACAACTGAAAGGTAGTAACGAACAAGTTAGGACCTTCAGTCCTTGGCCACTGAGTCACAGAAGACTAGACTCAAGTAGAATATGTTATATGGGGAAAAGTACTGGCTTTCAGCGTTCTGCTGCATATTTACATATCTCCAAATCAGCTATCAAAAAGACCCGAGTTTCTTAAGTGTCACACAGCGTACATGCTGTACTATCTTCCTGGATTGTTTTGTAATGCCCATCACTATAGCAGTGCTCCTTAACAACCCTTAAATGAACTACCGCTGTAGTGAAAACTAGGTTTGGAGAACCACAGCAACTGTAACATCGTGTTACTATTGCCTGTCATGTTCTGAAGCAGGTTTGGAGGTTGTAACCACCTGGTAAAGTGTTCTTCCCAAAGGTGGGCAGGATGGCAGAGTGTATGTTTAAAGACCAGGAGATGTCTTCAGGCTGTATCTGAATTGGAACTGAGGAAAAAGACTGGAAGGCTAAACTAGAAGAGACTTTTCCTCATCAATATTTCAAGAGCAATGAAGATCAAAAACTCCAAACAGAGTGTACAAACAGTTGCCCAATATGGCTCATCTGATATTAAAAACTGATACAGCACTCATCTCACCCCCAAAATGAATGAGCACATCTGGTATTTTTTAAATAGGAAGCTTAAAGTTGGGCATCTCTGTTTCTGCATTTGGAATCCAAATCCTAAGGACAAAAGGATATTTTGAGTCTTCCCTGTATTCCCTCTTCCCCTTTAAATAAAAACATTGCTTAAAGATATCAGAAAAACCCAGTCCTACAGTCCCTACCCCCATAACAGTGATGACCTATGCACCTGTAATATTCTCTATGCTGAAGTCATGCTCTACCAGTGGGAACAGAAGTGGAGTTTGGTTTGGCTATGTCTACACTTGTACTGCCTACAGTGGTCTTGCATCCATACATAAGACTCTAGCTCTCCACACTAAATCACTGTAGGAATATTAAGCAGAGTGCTGGCATTTTGCATAATGCTCCACAGTTATAAAAAAAAAATAAACAGGACTTGTGCCATCCTGAATGAGCTCTTCTTGGATCATACTTTGGTCATGTGAAAATCACGTAGTTAAATATCCACTGCCACTCCAATTCTCACAAGCAAAACTCCCTAGAAAGAGCACTCCCCCAATTCTCCCCTCCCCTCCCCTCTTCCACTGGAAGCCCTGTCCAAGCACAGGGAGTGAGCAAAGTACAACACACTATCACACTAAATGAATCTGTGTTCTGTAACAACCTTTCTTCATCTAGCTATTTTAAAATATTTTGCACATACTTGATTTCTTCCACTTTTAAAAGCCCATGAGAAAGACTTGTTAGCAACATTGCCCTGAGAAAGAAGGCAGAATTGGACTATTAACACAGATATATTACCAACTGTGCATGGGTTTATTGTGTGATCATATATGAAATGCTGACATAGTGTATGTTGTTCAATCACAGAGGACAAGGAGAGTGATCAGTTTGCAGGTGGATACACCTTCTGTTGGAGCTATGGAGGGCAACCTGTTTCACACAGTGCCATTAATAACAGCCCTCTTGCAAGCATGGTAATCTATGATGGCTGCAGATGTGATATTTTAGAGCCCAAGTTATTCTATAACTCATTCCCATCCATCAGTCCTGGCAAAAGTATTCCCTCTCATGGTTAGAGGCCTGTGCAGTCAAAAGGAAACCAGTCTCTCACCTTTGGTGGCAGCTGCAATTCTCCTTTACACACGGCTTATAGACTTCCACAGCTTTCTTAATTTGGTCAGTTATTGTTTTCCATTTGGCATCTAAAATACACAGGAAGGAAAAGTCAAAGGAATTAATCCATTAAACTACCAGAGCAACTAGCAGGAGCTGAACATGATTTCTGGTCCAGCTGGCAATAGCAACGCACGACGGTCCCGCAACACGCTCCAGTACTGCTGCAGCCCATGCAGCTCAACTAGAGCGCGCCTAAAGCAAGCGGGGGAAGGGAGAGCCAGA